TCTCTCTCTCTCTCTCTCTCTCTCTCTCTCTCTCTCTCTCTCTCTCGGGTTTTTCTCGTAGAATTTTTTTATTTTTATTCTATTTTTTGTTTTGTTTAAATGAGGGCCTCGCATTTCGGATAACTTGGAAGATATATATATAACGCATCAACTACAACTAGCTGTCTTCGACCACAAGGAATAGAACCTTTTATATCCCTAACACGAATATTTTGGGATTTATTATCCAAACCGTTCGAATTCCAAGTTGGATGCATTAATTTTATGATATGCAATGCAATTCACGAGAATCCATATATCGTTTTTTAAATTCATGGATATTTTTATCTTTTGAAAATCCAATAAAAAAAAAAAAGAGGTTTTGTGTTTTAGTTGAATTTTTTCCACCAAAAATTTATAAAAACTTCAAAAACCTTTTCCATCCAAACCAATAGTTTTGAGGTCCAAGTGTGAGTCAGAATATTCCCTAAAAACAATAATCGGCTAATTAGTTTGATCATGCTAATAATATTTTTTTTTTTAACTAATTAAAGGGCTGGTCTCGTGGAAAACTTTCTGCATAATTAAGTTATATATGTCGGAAATTTTGAATGACGTCACTTATCGGGGCTGACGCGAGAGTGATAACGTCACTAAATTATTCATTAATGTTTGTATATTTTTTCTTTGTTTTTGTTGAAAAAATATAACATGTGCTTCTGGAAAGTATACGACAAACGGTTTACCAAGAACAAAAGAAAAGAAAAAAATTCTATACAACAAACAGAAAACAACAAAAATATTTCTGCGTCATATAGATGATGTTCTAAAAGTAGAATATAATTATGAGTATAATATTCTAAATGTGTATATATATTTCAGACAACATTCATCATATTTTTAAATAATCGAATTTTTCTCTCTATTATTTTCCAATACCATTGACATATATTCGCCTTCCATCTTTTAGCTTATTTTAGAAGGACTCGGATTCATTAATAAATATGATTAGTCAAGCTAATCAAACCAATTTATTTTTCGTCCATTTTTAATTATAAAACCTGGAGTACGTCGTATTAAACGACACATGAAATTTTATTGGGGATATATAACTATCAACTCGTCGTCAAGTCATGGCACTAACTAATACTCTTTCTTTTTCCATTAACGTATGACGTATCTCTCCATGATGCATGCATGCGATCATCCTACTTTACGTAAGCATGTTTACGTCATTGTCTAGGTTCATTCATTAGGGTTTGGAGAAGTAAATTTCGAATTTGATATTAAAGATTGGTTAGTCGATAAGCGAGAAGAATAAGAAGGAAGAAGCTGACTTTGGTCAGTCTTTTTTTTTTTTTGGTAAATTGAAAGATTGTTTGAACGAGCAAATGTATACTATTTCTCAGAGTCTATATATTTTATTATTTTTTGTTTTTTAAAAGATTTTTAATTATTTTTTGTTACTGTATTTCTATATAGCGATTTAGATAAAAAAATATTTGATAATTTTGAAATAATCTAATATACTTATAAAACATTAGTTATTTTTTTTTTGCTGATATGAATATCTAAAGCATTCAACACCAATGCAACCAAGTTATGAAGCATTTCAAGGGCGCCTTTTGGGATGGATAAGAGCCGAAACATATATGAATCGAAATATTCCTAAAAAATACTTTATATATATATATATTACATTTGTAAATTTGTTATAAAAAATGCCATTTGGTGTTGAAAGTTTACGAGTGTAGAGACCAATGATAAATAAGTATTTCATAATAAAAAAAATAAGTATTTCATAAAAAGAATGATAAATAAGTAGCTAAATTAGTCTTAATTAAGAAGGGTTGATACCCAACAGATCGCGGACGAGTGGTCAAGTTTGGGGTAGGAGGTAACTCCATCTTTACCTTGAGGTTGAGTGTTCGATTCCTGACTGATGGAGAGAGGTAATTTTTAGATTTATATGATCTATATACAAAGGTTTAGTTAGGTTCATCCGTTATAAAAAAAAAAAAGTTGGAGTGGAAGGGTTTAGTGGCTGGTTGAAAGACACTTCTTGTCGTTCCAGTCTTATACATTCAGACGTTACGTCGTTTTATGTATGTGTTCCATAGGATAGAACAGAACTCCTTGCTGTTTCTAGCTACTCCCGTCTTTCGTCTTCTCTGCGGAGAAAGGGGCGGGAACAGAGATAAACCCTAAACGAGAGAGCGAGAGAGAGATGAGTCATCATCATCATCACCAAGCTGTAGATAATCTGATAAATATCTTCACGAAAGCTTCTCATGATCTGACTGTCGTCCATTACAAGCTCGAGAAGGAGTTCCAACAGATTTATCCAGATAATGTAAGCAAAATCGCTTTCTACGTGTTTCTGACATAACTTCTTCGGATTTTAGCACAATCCAATCTTTTGATCCATCCCCTTTTCTGGATTTATTTGTAAACTTGCATCGCTCCCGTTATTGAAGCACATTGACAACTGTACTTCGTGAGTTCAAAGCTTGGTTTTTTGACGTTTTGGAATGTAGGCTAATCCCATGAAGCTGATTCAGAGAATCGAGAAGTTGCAGGAAGATGTCTCTGTCTTGAAAGATCAATGCCGTGAGCTGTTGTCCGCCAAACAGGTTCTCTTGCTTTGCTCTAATTGCCCCCATTTCCTTTAATATTCTTGAAAATGCACACTGAAACTTGAATTTGACATTGAGAAAGACTGTTGTTCTTGGAATTCTATGTGAATTCCTGATGCTGGGGATTTGGCTTATCTCGTCGTGGAAAGGGAAGGGTTATTCAAGATGATGGGTTGATCGTATCGTAGCGATTTCGATTTTGCCGGGTCATGGGAATGGGGTTTCAGGCTGATTCTCTATGGTTTTTAATCTGAAAACCGGATATCGTTGATCTTAAGGAAGAAGTTTATACCTTCTTTTGGACAAGCGTTTTGTCTCAACACTTTTCTGTACTGAATTCTCAGATTTTATAAAGAACTCTGCAACATATAATCGAAACTCCGGTGGAATTCACTTGACAGGATCTAATTGACAAAGCAAAGACAACCCTTGTTGGGAACTGGAACCTAGTTCAGAAGATGAATGCATCCTTGGGTATACCGACAAGTAATGATGGGGATGATGCATTGGCCGATTTCAATCAGGTTTTTTGTCCCTTTCTCTTCAATCCGACAGAACAAAAGTCTCATGTACTTTGTTCTCGGGTTTCTAGTTAATAACGTTTAGTAAAAAAGAGGTTGCGGAATTTCCAAGTGTTGGTAAGAGATTTTACAACATTTGCCAGTAAGCAACCGATATTAACCCGTTTGGGGGTGATATTGGGAAGTTCTTTCCCCGGGACCTCAGGTGATTTCCACCTTTGTCAAGTCCTAAATGTATACTCAGTGCTTGCTTGGGGACATCTTGTAATGGATTTGATCTTGAACATGATCCCTTGAGAAACAAGAAGAGGACTCAATTCCCTAATCCATTTGCCTTTTTTGTTTTTGTTTCGGACAGGTCATCAACGAGTGGACAACCCAACTAAGAACAAGAACAGGTGATATTCCAAACCAGTGAAAAAGCAATGACACCTTCACATTTTTAGTTTATATTCATCTGAGAAATGTTCTTTTTTCTCTTCCTTTTTGGGTAGATTTATCGAGTAAAATCATCGATTCATGTGATGCATAGATCATCCTAACCAATGTTTTTGGTGATATTCTGTAGAGGCAGAGGACGGGGATACAGAGGACATCAACAATATACTCTTCTCGGCTATCGTTCATCGCAGCTGAGAAAGGTGTGTTTATATTCGCCGTCCCTCTCTCGGCATATATAAGCAAAAATCATTTCATTTGACAGATGGTGTGACATGTTCTTGTTTAGTACCCACCGATCGATCAGATGATCTCTTCTCCTTGGTTTCTGATTGGTGCTTACAGACCATTCCAAGTTTTCGCCTTTGTAATTTCAATTTGGTGATTTGGTCCAACTCGTGGGCTCCACCTATTCATATACTTGTATCTGTTAAAGAAAAATCGAAATTCGGATACTCACTGGATTCATGTGTGATGAAAAACCAAAATTGAGCTCGAGTTCGGACTGTCAGAGGTGTGTTACCTGCGCGTACTGAGTTACTATGAAATTACTAGTTTACATCCGTGTTTTAACGTAATTACCAAAATGCCTAAAAGATTTTTCTCTTTGTAATTACGGTCGCGGTCGCTGCCTCGCCATACTCGTCGATCTTTTGCCGACTTTGTCACTTCACGTCTCGATACTTCGTTCCATCCACCTCGCCGCATTGTTTCCTCCGCTCACTCCTACTTGCCTCGTTCCCTCTCGACTCGTAGCCACCTCTCGCGACTCATTGCCACCATTCGCCAGTTGTATATTCGAAACAACGGATACCCGACCTTCACAATGCGGAGATTGGGTAATCCGACCGAAAAAACGAACATACAAAAAACCAAAATCGGATACACCTAAAAACTCGAATGTTGCTAAAATATCGATATTAAACCCAAAACTCCCGGCGGATGGCCAATGACCCAAGAAAAGGATAGAATCGGTCACGTTTTTCATATAATCCCGAACCATGTTCTAACATTTCAGATCTTCTCGTAGTTACAACCACGCTTGTTACATGTACACATAACTACTTCTCAATTTTTCAGGTATAGCCCCAAAAAAAGGTTTCAATCAATGGAAACACTTCCATGACTAAAAGTCCGATAAAGGGCGAAGCTTTCGGAGTAACCATTTCTTACGCAAAGACACATCCAATGCTAAGAACGTCTTTGCTTTCCTCTCGTCTTCCAACAGATCACATGCATCGAGCAGAAGCTCGTCGTCCATGTCGGGCAAGGCTTGCAATGCATCAATGGCGTTTCCTATACCCGAGAGACCCTCTGCTTCAGAAAAAGGCTTCTCCTCTGCATCTGTTCCCGTCCTTGGCACCTTCTGCGCATGTCCGAAAAGTGAAGCCGTTGAGTTCGTTCGCTTTCTCGGTAAATTAGCATCACCCATTTCCATGACTTCATCGAAATTCTCCATCTCGATCATGATATTCTCGCAATCGAAACTTTCCTGAGAGAGAGGTTCACTAATCTTGCATAAATCTCTGTAACAATCCCCCAAGAGTTTACCTCTATACATGATTGCATCTGGGTGCTCCTGCAAAATAATTTTAGGTATAACCCATCTTAGATTTTGATGTCTATAACACAGAGGGAATGATTTTTTTTTAATTTTAAAAAACTTAACCTTGATGTATGATTCCCATGATTCATCACCATCTGCAACAATGGTTTGCTTATTTTCATCCCAGGAGAAATCACAGTGACTGAGGATATTGTTTATGTCGTCGCGTTCTTTCATCAAGTAAATGTACCGATTCTCCAGAATGTATATGTCGGTTTGAATTCCGAACTTTTTGCTGAATGATTCGACCATGTCAGCCCATGCTTGCTCGGTGAATGTCTCGCCGATTTTATTACCACTGTTCACCTGTTCTAACATAAGATCGATAAGACAACGGTCCATGACTTGTGTCCATTCTGTACACGGAGGATCCATGCTTCCACAAAGGTAGTCATTCTTCTCGTCACCTGCAAAAATTGACGATAAATTACGAATTTGTTTTTGCTTGAACCTTTCTGCTTCGTTTCATACATAAAAGTAACAAACATAGCAAAATTTAAACCAGATGAACATAGCATTTAATGGAAATTTTCAAAGGAGTTTCACAAAAGATGTTTACCGGTCATCGTCACAGCTTCAGCTATATTGGGTTCGAAAGCTTGAGCCAAGTGAGTGTATCTTCTATCAGGCATTTCCTTGCCAAAAATCAAACACATTTTTTGATAGCTGGGAACCATTTTAACTCTATATGAACGAGCTTCCGGGTGTGCCTGCAAAAAAAACCATTATATTTAAGCACCTGAAACCATGAAATAGACTAAAGGAAAGGAATGCGCTTGCCTGTATATAGGTGTCCCATATGCTATCTTCTGCAATCACCATATCTCTCCTTGCATCCCACAAGAATCCATTTTGCTGGAGAAGAAACGTTATGTCATTGTACAGCCTCCTCAAGTGTTTGAATCGGTTCTTCAGCACATCTTTGTTGTGAAGAGACCCAAACTTGGCGTTGAATGCTGTGACCATTTCGATCCAACCACTGGTTATGAATGTCTGCCCAACTTTGTTTCCTTTATGCACTTGGTCTACTAGTAAATCAATGAGATATCGGTCCATTGGTGGAGTCCAAAATGTCCTCGTCCGATCTGAATTCTTCGTCTGGATAGTCTTTCTCTCATCTGGAGAAATGAAGTTTTTACGATTGGCACCATCAAGATCAGATGAACCCTAAATTTGGAGTTTGATTCATTATTACTCACCCGTTTTTGCAGCTGAACTGTCATCTATGAGTTCTTTGCTTAGGACTGGATGTGGTAAAATCCCTTGATCGGTTGGGTTCCCAAATATTATTTCCAAATCATTGTAGTTTGGTAAGGTTCTCATCCTATATGTTCTTGCATGTGGATGTTCCTGCATATGATAGTCAAGCTGATGTAACAGACATCACAATCGTGTACCAAGAACAGTAGCGAGGGCTTTACCTTGATGTAAGAATCCCAAACATCATCATCTGCAGCAATCATTTGCAGCGTTTCATCCCATGAGAATCCATCTTTGCTCACGATAACTTTCATATCCTTATAGTACTTCAGCAATTTGTTGTACCGGTGTCTTAAAACCCGCTTCCCATATTGAGCACCGAATCTAGCATTGAACAGAACAAGCATATCTGTCCATGCTTGTTTGCTGAATGCATCACCAGTTTTGTTCCTTCTTCCTATTTGGTCAAGCATAAGCTCAATGAAGTATTGGTCCATAACCGGGGTCCATTCTGTCCTCGGACAATCATTGGTATTGATGCTACTTTCACCTACAAATGTCAGAAACAGATCAAGTTAGTAGATTTAAAAATTACATCAATTTACATCCTAAATGATGCATTACTTCCCAGTCTTGATGAGTATCCATAGTTTCTACCAAAGGAAAACCTTATATAATTATAACCACGAATATGGAAACATGATGCTCGATAAAGGAAAGGAAACACGTTACACACCCATGTTTACTCCTTGGAACTCATCTTCAAAGTCTATGTCATGACTTGATCGGCTGTATCTCCCATCTGCAACCGTATACCCATATATTAAGCACAAATCATTAAAATTCAGCACTGCTTTTGTCTTGTATACGCGTGCCTCAGGATGCACCTGCGATTACCAATATATCGTTTCAAAACAAGTTGTTTTAGCCAGAATTATAATGGGAAAAAAGCGAGTTGTTTAACTCGTGAATACCTTGATATACGCACTCCACACATTCTCATCGCCGATTACCATCTGTTGATTCTCGTCCCAAGAAAACCCATCATGGCCAAGAAGATTCTTCACACTGTTATACTGCTTCCACAGATTTGTGTAACGGCTTTTCAAAACGTCTTTATCATACTGAGATCCAAACTTCACGTTGAAAACGTTGATCATCTCGTTCCATGCCTGCTTGTTGAATGTGTGGCCAATCCGATTGCCCCTATGCATATGTTCTAACATGAGATCGATAAAGAAACGCTCCATTGAAGGCGTCCAGTATGTCCTTGTCCGATCATTGGAAGAGGCTTGGCCACTCATCTAATCAAATAACCTGAGCCAATAATAACCAACAAGAAGGATCCAAAACCGTATTGAAAAGAAGATTCATCCATCAGGGCCATAACATAAGTTTGCATAATACGACATGACAGAACAAATGGTTCTTCCTCTCCACCATATTAGCTATACAAGACAAAAGTACATCTATGGGGGTTATGCAAAATACAAAAATAAAAAAGCATTATTAAAGAAATCCAATACTGAATATCTGTCGGAATAATAACGTCATGCGTATCTGTGTTCCATCATTACTTCATACAGATATGATCGTATCATTGTTCAACCATAAACAAGTCGATTCTAGCTTAATTCTACGACCATGATTATCCGAAATCTGCAACGCATACGTAGTTCAAATTCATATCGCACGATTTTCTGCAAACTGCATTCTCAAAGAGCAATGGCACCGGGACAGAGAGCAACTGCATACACCGAATATAACTGGCGTTTCAAATTTGATTTTCACCAGATGATTACAACCAGAATCCGTATCCAACTAATGAAACCTCCCTCCCATCGTTATATGAAATCCCAAAAAATTACCACTGAATCGTCGTTCTTTGCTTTCGCCGGCTTAAGAACCACCGATGACACAAAGGAGACGAAATCGAAAATTCTGACATGACAAAACAAATGCAAACAGAAGCTGCGAACATTTCTGATGCTAGATTCAGTCAAAATCTCGGGGGAACAAAATCATAAATCGAAGAATGAAATGATCGAGACACAGAGTGAAACGACAGAGGAGAATATGAGAGTGTATATTATACTTACACAGTAGGGGGAAGTCGAGAGGGGGAGATAGGCAGGAGTTTGGGAGAGAGATTAACCCTAATCCCGAATAACAGATTTCTCCCCTGTTTGGCTACACGCACTTTACACCCATCATTTCATCTCATCCACCTGTGGGCCGGGCTTTTGATAATCCTACATGGGCCTCCTAAAGCTTTATTTCTATTTGGACTTCTCTAATTTGATTTTGTTCAATTCATTTTGATGATAGTTTACATCGCATATGAATAAAATTATTCATTAAAAGATAATTAAAATTGGATTTACGACATGACCAGTACAAAAACAACGTTTGTTTAATTTATAAATAATTTATTTGTTTTCAATGTTTTTATTTATATTTTACTTTCAGTTAATAATGTTAACGTTCCAAATCTAACCGTGTTTTTTTTTTAATAAAGCATAAACCCGCAAATTATCATCTATAACTTAATAAAACCATCCATAGAAATATCCATAGTAGTATTTATTGGCCAAAAGAAAGAAACGTTGGTCTCTCTCGTAAAAGGCTTGAAATTGTATGGTAGATTAATATATTGAGTTTTTAAGTAAAAATATATAAAACTAAAGGGTTGAATAAGAACCTTTTTTTTTACACTATCATGTACATCTATAACACAACTCAGCTATCTCACCATACATGAAAATCTCGAATAATTTCGGATATAGATGTCAAATTAGATTAACCCAATAAATCTATTTATCCACTTAAAATATTAAGTTTATTCTATCATGTCATCTATCTCCAAACAAGAAACCAAGTTCGATGGATCAAACAAAATCATATAAAAACGAATCCAAATCGAAAACCAATTTCGATATACGAAATGAATCAAACAGAAGCATATTAAAAAAAACAAATCCAAATGGAAAGAAATCCTATGCAAAAAACGAATTCGAAACGAATAGAACAAAATCCTATATAAAACCAATCCCACATAAATATATATAATACATTATATAAGTTTGTTTATGATTTAATTATGATAAATGAGTTAATTGGTTAAAATAGATTTAATGGATTTACCCGACAAACTCGATAAGTTCCAATCCCACAATCATAAACAAAAACATGAAAGAATCGACAAAGAGCAACGCATCTATCACAATTGAATCATAACTCAAAACATGAAAGAAAAGAATTCAGAGAACATGCAATCATTTTGATTCGCTATATTGATATTCAGAAGCACAAATTTCGCATTTCAATTCTAACATTTTTTTTTAAAAGCGTAAGCGAAATTCAAATTGCAGAGAAACATACCATTGACAAAATCCTTTATGGGCGGTTCAGATTCAGTTTCCATCGAAAGCTTCACATTTCCATGGCAAATGAGAATCGAAAGCATGACCAATCGATAACACGAAATCGAAAGAGCAATAATCAACAAACTCCAATTTATTCGGTTTGGATGCGTAAATTACAGGAAATACCGCATCACCAGCATCCATCAAAGCATCATAAGATCCGATCATGCTTGGAACGATTCATAACGATCGGAAATCGGAAACAAACCCACACATATGCCACACGATATTTTGCATAGTATCAGATTCAATACGAAAGGGAAGGGAAAAGATGGTGAGAGATTGACCTAGGAAACAACACGGCCGACGACAGGGTACTTAGCCTCGAATTTCTTCTCCCAATCGTTTAGGGTTTCGATCTCCTTGTCGGAGAGTCCGTCGACCGAAGGAGTGACGTCTTCCTCGTTCTTGCTCATCTTCGCCAGGGCTCTGCTCGCGTCCTTCCCGGCGAACAAAGCGTACGCGCCGCCGGGACCGTAGAAGGAATTTCCGGTGGTAACATCGAACACGCGGCCCCTGATAGCGACGTAGATCGGTTCCGACTCGTCTGTGCCATTGTAGTGGCTCAGCTGCTCGGCAGTAAACTCCATCTCTCTCTCCGCGATCGAACAATCCGTCTGGAAAAATCTACAAAGCGAGATAAAGGAGTCCATTATTTATTACTTTATTGAATAATTACAATCAAACCCCTTAACTTTTAAATTCTACTATCAAACCCAACTTATTTTACTTAAATCCAAACAGTATAACTTTTTATTTTACTTAAATCCAAAGAGATATAACTTTTTATAGTTTGAAAGGTAAATCGCATATAAATATCTAAACTTTTATAAAAATCTCAGATAAATATCCGAATTATAAAATTTTTATATAAATACCTGAACTTTTTTAAAATTCTACATAAATACCTAGATTTCTGAAAAACTCTCAAATAAATCCAAAATCCAATGACATCACCTATTTTTTTTTTGAAAAATACCTGAAATTTGTATTTATTTAAAAAGTTTTTAAAAAATCTAGATATTTATATAGGATTTTCAAAAGTTCATGTATTTATATGGAAGTTTTATAATTCAGTATTTATGTAAGATTTTCATAAAAGTTTAGGTATTTACATGTTATTTTCCCTTTGAATAATCATTTTAGACCGTCAATATATATCAACTTAACAAGTGTTTCTACCATTTGACGATATTAAAATATTTCAGATATTTTTTCCGAAGTTTAGAATAGTTCAAGCTAAAATATTGTGTGAATCCTGCAATTTCAAAGTTAAGAGTTTATTTAATTATTAGTAAAAAAATGGGGGTTAAAATTATATTTGTCCCATTTCTTATTTATATCATATAGTTTTAAATAATTTATAAATATCTAAAAACCCAAACAAGATCAAATTAAACCAAACCGATGGAATCATCAACATTAGATATCTTAAGTAGGAGAAAATGCATGATAAATATTTTTATAGTATCAAAATCAAATGTTTCCAATATTATAGGAACAATCTATGAATCATATTACGTTAAAGACCGAATTTGGGTTGATAAGGATTTTGGTAATTTGCGGATAAAAAAAATTATTCTGTAAAAATATGTTGGTTTTGCGAGTTAACCGGGTTCTAACATTTGACCGAAAAATTTTGGTTCTTGTTGATTGGTCTAATTATACAAAATACAATTTCATAAATTCATTATATATATGACCTTTGATAGTTTTGGTAATTATTCTCATTTTTCATGTAAAAATAAAAATTAGATAATAATGTATATCCTCGTATTTTTTTAATCTACAAATTACTTATAAAATTGCATGTGTCATTTGATAAATTTTTTAATTCTTGTTTTACATTATTCTTCTCATTTAATTATTTTTTATCCTTAACATAATCCATAATCAATTTTGAAATATTATACACTATATCCCAAATCAATTTTCAAACGTTTATTCTCGGAATCAGCTATAACCGAATTGGAATCGGACAAAGAATCACAACAACATATTTAGAGTTTGATTGATTTTGGATTTGAATTCCTAAGATTAGTCCACCAAATTTGTACGATAACGAATTGTTTATGCAATTCTAATTTCATATCATTCGTCCGAATTATTTACTCGGTTTTATATCATTTAAGATGTTTAAGTGCGTGTTTAGCTTCACTTTTATTTTGTTATCGACTTTTGCATGTATAAGCAAAAGGAGCGGAAAAGAGAGCGCAAACCGAAGGATTAGAAAGTCAGATTTTGCAAGTCCAATAACTTTTATTCCACAAGTCCAAATCATATTTTCTCTATATCATTACTCTTTTCAATATCTACGTATGGACACCAAGATCATCCAAATCCGATATCGGAGCAGAAAATTATGAACAAATTTGTGAAACCCGTTAAAACTGCTCAAAAGACTGATCCGATCGGGTTACTTATATATGACACGATCGGGTCACTTATAAGATTTTAGAAATATTTAGATTTTGCCCAAATAAAAGAGGAAAAAAATAGGGTTAGCCTTTCGGTAAAAAATTATTCAAGTTTTATACAGAGAATATAGTTAGAGCACACAAAAAGGGAAGATTATCAAGAGACAAAAGATCAAAGTAAAAGACGGAGATACGAAGTCGGAAAATCGACTAAGCGTTCTTCATTTCTTCTATTTTACGATGTTTTGTATTATTGATATGAAATCTGATGTCTCGATGTTTAGTGGGTAGTTCCATAGCTGTAGGTTAGAGATTTGCTATGCAAGGATATTTGGTTTTTAATTATAGATTTTGTGGATTTGTTTATTCTATTCGATTTATTAAATTGTTTTAATGCATTTGATTTTGTTGACACTTGATTGAATGAACTTAAGGTTTTAATTTTTATAGATAAATGAGATTTTAGCCTGGAAATAATTCAATAAATAGAACAAATATTGCATCTAGAGATGTATATTTGCTCATACATTATATAGCATTCGTTCTTGCATCCAGTATTTATACTATTGAATTGAGAGATTACTAGGATAAAACTTTGATAGTGAGATTAGACTCGAGAGAGTTAATTTCTATTTTAGAGGTTGAATTCCCTGAGTTTGATTTATAAACCACTAAGTTTGCATTTTTAATAGAGATCCTTGCATGTAAAGTAATCATGAAATCTACAATGTTCACCATTCATAGTTTATAACTGTTTTGATTGTTCGTTTTGCTATGCTTTCACATTCATATTATTTCCTCTAGATTTAAATTTGGATTTGATCTTGATGATTTCTTTGTCTACTTTTGTCCCTGTATTCAACCCTAGATACTGCACACGATCTGTACACTTGCGTTATTTGTTGTGTCTAACATATTATTACTTGATCGAATTTACACACCTAGATTTACAACATCACATACTATCTACATAACATTATCAAGATTCGAGTCCTTTGAAGGCAACAAAGATAACCACCCATACTCGAGTAAACCTTATAATTCTCTCTTAGTTGGAATCGGCGATAAAATGGTGAAATGTTTATTCAATTTTCGAGCATGTTAAAATAGGGTTAATATCACAAAAAACCCCAAACTTGTTAAAATGTTTTATATAAAACCCTTAACTTGCAATCTGCAAAAAAAAAAAAAAAACTCTGAATTTGATAAAAACTTCTATAAAATTATAACTTTGTTTAACCACAAATTTTGTTGATGTGGGACGACAGATTGTTGACATGACGCTTATTGAATTGATGCATTAGTGCCACATCATCATTTTAAAATTTTAAATATAAATTTCCAATTTTTGGCCAAATATATATATATATATATTTGTATATATATTAAGTTTGTAATTTAAAATTTTAAAGATACAAATATATATATACACCTATATACATATATACATATATATTATTATCAAATATTTTAATTTTTAAAATGATGATGTGGCATTGACATGACAACTCAGTCAGCGTCATGTCAGCAATCTGTCGACTGTCGTATCACATCAGCAAAATTTTTAGTCAAACAAGTTAAATGTTTTATATGGAAGAAAATGGTAAGCTTATAATTTTTGTAGAAGTTATTACCAATTTATAATTTTTATCAATTGAACACAAAATGTGATAACATGTTTGATATTTTATTGATTTTTGTAAAATGGTCTTGGCCTTGCGGTTTTATATCGTGATCGTGAAAAAATTTAACTTCATTGGGATTATTATTATTGTTGTTGTTGATAATTTGGTGGGAGAGCGGTCTCCACGAACGGTTGAAGTTGTATGAATATGTGTATATCAAGAAGGAAATCTCCGGTGGAATGAAAGCATGTTGTGAGTAAATGAAAGCATTGGAGTGCTACACATTGTCAAACCTTTCCAAAAATATTTTTAAAAATGTATATGAGAGTTTAGTATCAAATCCAGTTTTTCCAATATTATAGGAACAATTACGTTAAAAGGAAAAAAAAATCAAACCTCGCATCTGCACCGAATGCATAAAAAAAGGAAAATTGTGATAATTCATTACTCAGCTATTTCCCTAAACAGGAACAGAGGGTTTAGGCTGAGCAAGAGAGATGGGGGGAAGACAGTTATCGCGCTGCTTGACGAGCTCGTGAAGATCATGAACGATTTTGAACACAGCCTCTGGTCTCGCCAACCTTACTGCATTCTCCGACATTATCTTCAGTTCCTCCGACTTCGGTCCGAACCATTCCGCCACGATTCTCGCTATCTCCGTCGGAGATTTCGAGAATTTCCCGCACCCGTTTTCCACAACGTACGGCACATTCCCCGCCTCCTACAGTCAGCAAAAACCCGAAAGTTGAACCAAAAAACCGAAACTAAGAGAAAGAGATAGTGTCCTGTTTCGGATGTTGTTTTAAACGAGAACTTACTTGCCCAGCGATATAGCCGTTTAAAATGATCGGTAGCCCTCGTATCATAGCTTCAGCTATAGTTCCGGGACCAGCCTTTGCAGAAGCAAGAGCACATTTCAGTAAGGTGAAGGCTGATGGGAGAAAACATCGGTAACAAATGGATATATCCGACAGTTTTTACCTTTGTTATAATGCAGTCACAGGCACCCATTGCCGCCTCCATTTTTGTTACGAAACCCTTAACCTACACGAAAAAAACCTCGGGTTTCACCAACTTAATGTCTACCTTTTAAAATCCCTAAAAGGATGAGCATATGGTTCAGTTTCCAGTTTATTCATAGATTCGTAGACTTGTTCGGAATCATCAACAAATCATGCTGAATGTCATTAGATTTTGGCTCAAGTGGTGTAGTACCTGGACAGGAATTTTCCATTCTAAGGAGCCTAATTTGCTGACAAGTTTCTTGTTCCGCCCACAAATCACAAGCATCTGACCCATTGGCATCCCGAGATTCTCGTCATACAACGCATTGCCAAGAGCTCGTGCTGTGGCTTCGATGGGTCCCATTCCTTCTCCGCCGCCCATAAGCAGTACAGCTGGAAGATTCTCATCCATTCCTAGAACTCTTCGTAGTTCGGCCTACAAATAGTTGTCAAGAAGTGCATTTTCAACATTTTGAAACACCGAGATGTTTGGAAAAAGGGACTAAGTCAAGTTATAAGATAAGAAAACCGAAACAAAACCTTTGGGGAAACAGGCTTCACAAAGGAAGGTCGGACAGGGAGGCCATAAACCTTGATTTGTGACGGTTGAAGTCCAGCTTTCAGTGCCCTTTTGGCCACCTCCGTCGATGGGCAATAACATCTTGTCACAAGTTTATGAAACCTAATCCGAGGCGGGGAAAAATCAAAATTGTTTAGAAGGAGTGAAGAGTGTCTCAAAATGAGAACTGTGGACAAAGGCAAAGAAAAAAAAGAACTAACCATGTTGGATGGCAAGTACTTAAATCTGTTACAACTGTGGTAAAAACGATTTTCTCGAGCAAGCCCTTTGATCTGAGGATACGAAGTGGGACATGTTGCATCAGCGGATGAACGCTAATTATGATGTCTGGCTGATATTTCATCAACCCTTTTGCCACCTCCCTAAAAAAAATCAAAACAACACGATCAGATTTAATAGGAAAATCCGAGCTTCAGAAGCAATAATCCATTCAGCAGTATATTCCAGAAGAAACCGCAAACACTATCATAGTTTGGAAGCTCAACATTTCACATATGAAAGACCTGAGAAGATAAAGTTCAGTCACTCGTTCTCAGTCCCTACAATTCTCCCTATCTCTTTGTCAGATTCTCTGGACGAGTTCAAGACTCATAAAGTGGAGTGACTCCTTTAGAGCTTATTTTGAGAGGGGAAGCAGCTGTAATAACAACAAATTCTAGTCCTAATCAAGTGTTTATGGCAACTATTGACATGAAAAAGATTCCATGGACAAACACTTGTAGAACTGCAAATTGGGAGAAGGCCTCACCTGGCGATAAAGGTTGAAGTTGCAGCGAAATTAGATTGATGAATAACACGTGGAGCAGTTCCGTAATATGTCATTTTCCACAGAGTTCCATGTTTGACCAGAAAGTTATAGCTCCTGGGTAACTGGTTGAACGGCCATGGAGTGTGATCTGTCCATAAATCGGTAATAAACACCTGCAACAATCACTCTTAATGTACAGAACGTAATCAACAACGTCGAATCCACACGGTAAAATCGAAATATCCTGCAATTCATCGATTTGTGTTGCATTCGTAATGAAGATGAACATAACCAGTACTAGAACCAATTCAATGTGCCCTTGGCTTTCTCTATCTCCTCCCCACTTCTCCTCAATTCAGAAAACTACAAGTAAACTTAGTAAATCGACTTTTGCAACCACGTTTCGTAGTTTGCAGAATAGATAAATGATCTGTAAATCAGTTTCAAATTGTTAAAGTTATCATCTTCCATGACTTTGACAGCTCCATCTCCAGAACCAATCATCCAGGCAATCATAATTTCCTATAACTTGAAACATACTCTAAACCAACTTCAAGTTTTTTTCTATAATAGAATGGGGATTCTATTTGCAAACAATCTTCTGTTCTTTCAAGAATGGGGATTTCTATCTACCCACATTTTCTCAGCAACCAAACAGAAAACCAACCTGATTACGTTCATTCCCACAATCATACTCTCATTCCCACAATCATAAATCTCAAAATCCAATTGACACATTCCTCATTGTGGTTCATAGGCAATGAAAACCAATTTCAGTTCACAATCAAAGGAGAGAGATAGAATGGGAAACGAACCTGGTAGTAATCTCCAAACTCCTCATTGAAAGCAGCTTTAATGGCTTCCGCTGAAGCTCTGTGACCACCGCCAGTATCACTCATCAGAATCAACACTTTCTTCCGTCGATCAGCTCCAACCCCATCCAATGGCGGACCCTCATCCCCAGAAACACCATGCCCATCTTCTCTAAACCCGTTTTCTTCACTCGACAACCCAATTCCGACAGAGGCAAATGCCTCCGGAACCCTATCGCAGTGAAACCTAACAAACCTGTTGAAATCTCTGATGAACCCATGTAAACTCGTACCGGCATTGTTACTGCTGTTCAGGCTCAATGACGCTAGGGTTTTGCGTCCCCTTTGGGCGGGTAAGCTGCGGAAGCCATGGAAGGAACAGGAATTCAGCGTCGAGTGAGCAAACCCATCTGAATTCGAGCTTAGAGATCGATGACTGAAAGCGAAACCGCCCAGTCGGGTAACGGAATCGAAGACGGGGGCTGATTCCTGCGTTACCGTTGACGGGTTTTGCATGTTTGATGGAGTAGAGAGCGACGTTGATGTGGGTTATTCAATTTATGGCGGGCTTCTCAGCCATGAACGGCCACGCGATCACGCGACGAGAGAAAGTGAGAGAGAAATCTCGCCGAGCTTTCGCAGCCACAAAGATAGGATTTTGGAGAATCGATGCTAAATTGAAGTTGGGACTGTTGGTTTATATAGGGAGCTGATCGAACGATTTGGTTAAAAATTAATTATCGCATCTTTCGTATGAAAAAAGTATTCAATTTAATAAATTAAATTCAAATCTATATTCTAAATTCTAAACCCAATAAATGTATTTTCCTAATTGATGCGGAGACTAGTGGTTTATATAGTCAGAGGGTTGCTTTGGTAAAAAAATTAATTATCGCATCCTTCGTATTTAAAAAATTTAACTTAATAAATTCAATTCAAACCTATACTCCAAAGTCTAAACACAATAAATCTATTTTCCTAATCATGTATGCATATTTTTTTTCACATTAGTAAGACCCAATTCGAATTTTAAATAGGTAAGATATTCTACTTAATATTTATCATTTAATCCACCTCTCTTTGTGCATTAAAAAATAACCGTAATTAATAGAGATGTATAACAACCATTTTAACATATTAATTCATATAATTCATGGGATATCATCAAAACAAATTTCAATTTTTTTTATTTCATACGGAAAGCAATTTCAAAAAAAAAAAAACGAAGTGCGGGCTTCCTGTTTGGTCGGAACGATAATTGGTCGGTCCATGCGGTTCACATGCTTTTATTCAATGTTCTATTTTAATTTCAACTCAAAAACTATTTTCATCAATGTTCTTTTTTTTTGTCCATCTTCCATCTCATATTAATCTGGTCATTAAACTAATCATGCATTCGTTAATAATTTATAAAATTCTCCTGAATATTTCGTTTGTATTTTATTTTATTTGCTCATAATATAGACATCGTGAAGAAAGTATACTTGCTCAAATTTTAAATTTCTTGCAGTTTCAGTTAATATTTATAATGTTGTCTATTTTCGGCGACCAATGTTTGGTCGGTGAGTCGAGTGTGGCGAAAACCGGAGAAAACCAAGTCCATGGAGTGAACCGAATCATTTGCCACCGGTTTATCAGTTCTAATGTGTTTTTTTTTTTTTGAAAAGTTATTTCTACTTGTTTTGGTTCTGTTTTTCCTTTTTATTAAAAAATATTGTTGTTCTAAAAAATAGTTTTGATTTAATTATATTGTCTGAGTAATTTTTATATTCAACAAAATCATATCCAAATATTTTTTTTTTGTAAATATAAAATATATGATTTGATTTCGTATAAAATGTAAATATATACACTACGCAATACTATAGGATATCTCACAGACAAAAAAATATTTTAATTTAAATTATTTTTTTTAAAGACAGGTCAAAACGGGCTCTCATAATAATTGTCCTCGTTTGGACGAAGCCCAGTAACGGGCCTGGAACTAGTTTCCGGGTCGACCCGGTTCGAGAGGATTTCTCCTCCCTTCGGAGTTCGGAGCTGCCTGGCACCGGATTCTGTGTAATCGTACGTAGCTATGGCGAGCGAAGAAGAGAAAGCCCTGGAACAGCTGCTCGAGGCTCAGCTCAAGGACCAGCGAGATTCTCTCGCCGCCATTGATGAAGCTCTCGCCTCCGATCCTTCCAATGCCGAGCTGCTCTCGGTAAAATTTCCTCTCCCGATTCGAAGAATCCCTAATCTTTTTCTCTTTCCTTCGAAAATTTCCCGAAACTAATCACCTATTGAACAGTTCCGAGTAGTTCATCAAAATCTCGTAGTTGTTTGATTAAACTGTTTAATTGAGTCGTCAAGCTATGAGTTTCTGATTCCTATGGAGTCTATGAAGTATGGATAATCCGAGTATAGTGAAATGGTTTTCTGTGTATTGAATAGTGAACTATATACGTCGTCTTATATAGACGCAATACATAGGAAATCTTAGGTTAAACGTGAATATAACAGTGTCTTCTTTCATGTATGCATGAACAGGGTATGTTTCCGCCTTCCGTTGTCTGTATATGATTTTCTAGTTGAGATTGAGGAAGTTAGATTTCGTAAAACAAGATCATCGAGGCATTTTGTTATTTGAAATGGTGTTTTTGTCGATGAGGCGATGAAGAATATGCATTTGGACGGGTTGCTTAAATGGTGCTCGGGTTTTCTCTCTGTCTTAGGTTCATGGAGAACTTCTCAGTGCAATCAAGGATGCAGAGGAAGGTCTTCTCCACCTCAAACGAGCTCGGTTACTGCATGAAGCTGACATGGTGCTGCATGGTTTCAATCATGCTGCTGCTGAGGAAACAAAGGCTGAGCCACTTGATCCAGCCGGCGATGATGTGGAGCCTGAGCCAATTGAGGAGCAGAGGTTTTCTGTTGGATCGAAATGTAGATTCAGACACACTGATGGACGTTGGTATAATGGTCAGATTATCGGGTTTGAAGGCTCAGATTCTGCAAAGATTTCATTCCTCACGCCCATGTCTGACAGAATGTTGGTGAGAATTGTTATCCTTTTTCCAGTTTCATTGTCAAGATTATTGCAATATGTTACCTCTGCATTTGTTTATCAGACTAAAGTGTGTCTTTAACTATGTCTGTCTCCGGTAATAAGTATTCTCTGGGTTTTCCATGTCATCTATTGATTCTCCTTCCCCTAAAACAATTGCATGATCGAAATACTCAATCAGGTCTGAATATCCCAGGATATGGTTAGGTTATGTAGTTAGATTTGGTTTTGTAGAGGCATAAAGTAAGATTGTTGGAAAAAATAGCTATAAAACTGTTACCGTTGGCATTAGTGAAAGTGTTTCTGGCTTTCTGTTTACTAATGTTACACCACACTGCAACAGATGTGCAAGTTTTTCATGCAACAAAGGTGTCGGTTTGGTGGTACATGTCGCTTATCACACGGTATGTTTTCAAGGGTAACTACCGGTTTCAAAATCTTGCTGGTCATCATCATCATTTGTGCATTATTTCTGCACAACTTTCATCCCCCTTCCGTTTTATAGTGGAAGATGCTATCGATTCATACTGGTAAGTCTGGTATTCAAATAGTTTTCTCTCTCTGAACAAATGCTAAATGCAAATGCAGGACTGGATTTGCCAGTATCATCTTTAAAGAATTTTGTCCAAGTTGAATGGAACCAATCGATGGTAGGCTCCAAGATTTGCGCAGTTTCTGGAGGTAAAGACAACATATGGAGGGAGGCTGAGCTTGAATCGTGGGACAGTGAACACCAAGTAGGCCAAGTAGTTTTTAGAGACGATGGAAGCTCGGCAAAGCTAGGGCCCGATGCTATGATGTTATATGAGTACGCTCATATATCTGAAGATGATGATGATGATGAGGAAGATGATGAGGACGAAGAAGGGAGCAGCGATTCATGCTCTGAGGAATCTGCTTCGAGCGACTATGTTGAGGAGACTCAGACTCCACAAGGGTTAGGTTTTCTAGAAAGTACGAATCAAATGAGAGGCGTCCAGACTGAAACCGCTGTCTTTGCTAAGTGGGAGAACCACACGAGAGGAATAGCTTCCAAGATGATGGCGAACATGGGTTACCGTGAAGGGATGGGATTGGGTGCAACTGGTCAGGGAATGTTAGATCCCATTTTGGTTAAAGTACTTCCGCCAAAGCGGTCACTGGATCATGCCCTCGAGCATGTTAAAAAGACTGAAGAAGGTAAAGGCGAGAAAAGAAAGATCAAAAGGAGGAGCAGAGGTGGAAAGAAGAAGCGTGAGAAGAAGATGGCAGAAGCGGCTAGAGCTGCGAGACAGGAAGAGGAATCAAGGCCTGATGTTTTCAGCCTAATCAACGACCAACTCTCGATTCATCACAAGAAAGTAAATGGAACGTACGGGAACAAGAAGCAGAGCAAAGGCACGGTGGACGAGAAGAAAGTGGACAGAAGGGCACTGGTTGCATACGAAGACGAGATCAGAGACTTGAAGTTACAAGTTCAGAAGCTGGAAGAGATGGTGAACCGAAACAGGAGGGATAAAATCGTATATGAGGCTGCAACACGAAGATTGAACGAAGCCCGAAAAATATTGGCAGATACAGAAGCAGCGTATGCCTCAACATCCAACGCTGTTGCCAACAGCGAGAAAGAGAAGAAATGGCGCAAATTCTAGAACATCAAATATCAATCTTGATCACAGAACGGTTTCGGGCTTTTGATGATTTGATTTCTCCATCATCGTCAAGCTTCAAACTTTTGAGAACCCCTTCGATGAAGCTGCTCAGACATTAACCTCAGCAACAACACAGAAGAACATGCAAGTGAACAATGAAAGACTATCCCTTGCTGTGTGGTATATGTTACAAGAAAAAGGAATATAGCTGAGAGTAGCAGCCACTTGAACGCACATTTCGATTTATCTCCTGTATGTTGTTATCTAATTCGGCCGAGCCCAAATAAACTTGGGACTAAAGCGAGGTTGATGTTGTTATCTAATTATTCGTGTTCATTCCTACAAACTTTTTCGTAGGCGGTTTACATGTCTGAAATATCGGTTTGCCAGATTAGGAGCCTGCATTGTTTCTATCCCGCCTTTGGCCGGAACAGAAGTTGAGACGGCTACAGCGGGAACCTCGGGAACAGAGACGATTCTATACCCGAAATGGTAAGGCATCGTCGCCCAGTTTTGTCCATCCGCTCGCTATATTCGGCGGCAACCCATGTGTCGGAAGAACTCTAGGTTTAAGATACAGCTCCATTGTCCGGACTTGGCAAGAACTTCTTTTTTATGAGGAGAGAAACCCCATATCCTACTCTGAAAACCTTGCAAGCGTTCTGATGGTGGTACCATTTAGGTAACAGATTAACCAAATTCGATCTCCTCGTCCCTCCGAACAGAACAATAAGCATGGATTTCCCTTTCTCTGGTCGGTTAGGGTCAACCATTTTCGATTTCGGTTCGGATTTGATTATTCCGGTTTTAGAAAAACTCTACCTATTCGGTTTTTATATTCTTTGGTTGTTGCAATTTTTATCGATAAAAATATGAGAAAATTTTAATTTTTTCGGTTGTTTTTTATTCGGTTCGATACAGATTTGGTATTTTTTAATTTTAAAAAATCTTAACCGGTTTTATACCGAATTCAATTTGATTATATGAGATTCTGTTTGGATTAATTAGTCGGTTCACGCTCAATTTGCATAGGAACTTGACCACTAAGTCTATTCGATGGCTTCCTTGTTATCTCCCCGATTTCAAAAAATAAAATCTGTTTAGTATTTACTGTTCGGTTTTTTGAATTTGGAAAAAAAAAATCATACATGTTCGAGTTTTCTCTATCGGATTCGTTTTTATACGAGATAGGGATTGGTAACCCTATAGTAAAAAACAAGATCGGTCTTGTTCGGTATCGGGTCTAACAAAATATTAGAGGTGGACGATTTCAGTATGGAACCGAAAATCTCGATATTTTTTTTGAATCGTACCATTAAAATTCTCAAAATGGTATATTTTTACAACTGAATTTTTATGAACTGAACTTTATAAATTTTTTGAAAAACTAAAATTTTCTTAAAAAAAACTAATTTTTTTTAACAAAAACTGAAAACTATTCAGAACCAGAAGCGAAATAAACCGAATAATATATGGTATTGATTTGATATATATTTTAGAATATCGAATAAACCGTTATTGAACCGAACCGTTAAAATTACTAATAGAATCTCAAAATGTCCAACCCTACAAAATATTGGGCCCATTCTGTATTTAGATATTCAACCCGGCATTCTACGTTTTCATATCATTGACTTGTGGTTTCACATTTATGGATTTATGGTTAAAAAATTATCCATATATCTCATACAATATTTAGGGAGTGCTTCCATCTCCTGATTTTGATGTCACGAATCCCCAAGAAAAAGTCTCAGAGAGAAACTTCGAGGAGCGTTATGATACACACAACCTGAGATCATCTCAGTACACGACCACCTGCGTGTTCGACACGTGTCCAAAACATTTCTTTCAACAGATTTTCATAAATCACTAATTATTGACAACATTAATATTAATTAATTTTTCATCGGATTAGCAAGGGCTATTTGTCTTCACCATTCCTGCCTCTCTTTGCTGTCAAACTAACACCTGAAGCTATTGGAGAATCCTTCTTGGATTTAATCACCCGCGCGTTTGACGGATCTCTCTCTCTCTCCCTCGCGTCGCTCTTGTCGAGGAATCTGGTATGTCTTCTCTCTGTTGTCCGTTTTACTTTGATCGTTTCGCGGTTTTCGGATGAATCGATCTGCTCAAGCGATCATGCCGCTGGCGCTTCTCTTGTTCAATCTTTTGTCGTTTCCGGATTTTTGTTTGCTCTAGATTTTCTGGTTCAGTATTTGATGTTTTGGATCTTGTTCGTGGAATGAATCACAAGATGTTCATGCTTGATTTGAATAGGATTCAGCCTTTTCATAGCTTCTACGCAGGTGAAGATTTTTCCGATTGGTGATACCTTTAATGTTTTTGGTCTCGTTTGGGGTCTGATTAGCAAAAAGGATGCTGGATTAGCCACGAAATTGGCTTTTATCTGTGGTTGTGATCAGAAGAAGGGAGGAGCTGGTTTTGGGAATTTTATGCAGAGGTATGGGGTATTTGAACTCAGTGTTGTCTTCTTCAAGCCAGGTTCATGCCGACGATGGTCCGGTCAGTGGCGGAGGCCTCAGGTTGATCTCTTCTTTATCCATCTTTTACCATATCTTCGCTTAGAAACTGTAACTTTGTTGTGCTTCCATTGGCATGCTGTCGTGTTCGCCTCTCTGTTGGGCTGCTCCGTTTGTATTGTAGTATGTTTTGTGCTGAATTGATAGCCAAGGTTGTTGGCCTGTTATGATTCGTGTGTTCATCATCCAATTATCAAGTCCACAGGCTGAATTATTGATGTATATTTGGTGATATTGTGGCAATTGAATTCTGTATGAAGTTTCCTTTTGGATTTCTTTTAATCTGGTAAGGGGACTGAAGGAGAAAATGAAGAAAGCTGATGTGAAGGATTAATCGCTTTCATCATGTCCCTTTCTGCATTCTAGCTTCTGACTTCTTCTGAGAGACTGCTCAATGATTTGGATGGGAAAAGTCTAGTACATTTTCCCATCTTCTTTTTGCAATTTTCCAGTTGCTAGTCTCAGAAACGCATATAATTTTTATGTGGTCGTTTAGGTGGACAGAGTTGGCTCTTTCACTGATCACTACATTACATCTCACATCGGTGAGGAAAAACTAGCAGAATCATGTTCGAGTATCATCTGGCCTTTTGTGTCTGATCTTTTCCCTTTGATTTTGAACCTTTAGAGACTTAGTCCTTTTTTATTCGAAATATGTAAGTCTCTGTGCGTTGTTTGAGTGAAGGAGTTATCTTGTACCACGATTTTCTGGTAAGATGTATCTCTACTTCAAGTTGGGACTCTTTCTTTGAACTTAGATGTGCATGCACACTTTCATGATTATATGTGAATTTTTTGAGATACTGTTAATGAATAACGATATCATTGGCATTGTTGCTGGCGATTTGATGAACAGAAACAATTGACAACTTCCATATGTCTTCTTCAAACAGCCAGAACGGGAAGTTTAGCTATGGATATGCGAGCTCTCCTGGCAAAAGATCATCAATGGAGGACTTCTATGAGACAAGAATCGTTGGTGTCGATGGAGAGATCGTTGGTCTATTTGGAGTCTTTGATGGTATACATTCTCACTAAACGTCAAATACATGAACTAATTTGTCCATGGTTATGTATCATTGGAGGTCTATGTGTTGCCTGTATCTATGACAGTAAATCTGGTTATCTATCTGTTAAACTATATATTTCATCTAGGGATTTATGAGAGCAGGAATTCATTTATATAGTTTATAAGCATCATAACATTTCCCATACCATGTTTACTTCTCAATTCATATCTTAGTTCTCTATCAAGACTTAGTATTGGTAGAGATATAATATCATTTCCTAGGCCCTGTTTCTTACTTGAAAAAGTTCATTCAGGAGCTAATGGTTTATGTGACTTTTGTCTAGGACATGGAGGTGCACGTGCAGCTGAATATGTGAAGCAAAACCTTTTCAGTAACCTGATCAGACATCCGAAGTTCATTTCTGATACCAGTTCGGCTATTGGTAATTTTCTATTGTCTCCTTGATATACCCTTTGATGATGTCCAGTTAGCTGCCGCATATTCCTAATGATATGTCCATTCTCTTGCTGTTGTTATTGTCAGCTGATGCATACAACCAGACAGACTCGGAATTTCTGAATTCAGAAAATAGTCAGAACAGAGATGCTGGTTCAACGGCCTCAACAGCTATCCTAGTTGGTGACCGTCTACTTGTTGCAAATGTAGGCGATTCCAGAGCTGTTATCTGCAGAAACGGCAAAGGTAACTGTTGCCCTTTCTTGTTTCCTGAATTTTGTTTTTTTTCTTTCGAAATTTCCGTTTTTTTCGAGTAGACATTCTTGCCTCCAAATGGGAACATAAGATAATAATCAATCACGCGATATAATGGTCGGAAAACGTCGATCTTTTGGACCGTAATCTATTTTAGACAAATAGTTTAAGACCATCTCTAATCACATGAAAACCCATATGCATGTAAACGACAGTGTATCATCCATTGAAGGATATTTAGGAACTAAAAACAAATATTTTTTTTACTTGCAGCTATTGCGGTGTCCCGAGATCACAAGCCTGATCAAAGTGATGAGCGCCAACGAATCGAGGATGCCGGAGGATTCGTCATGTGGGCTGGTAAGAAAAGGCTTCTCTATGGTCAAAATCCTTTTTTTCCCCTTACATGGTGGGTTTTATATCTTTTCTTTAACTGGTATCATATGCCTGAAGGAACATGGAGAGTTGGAGGAGTTCTTGCTGTTTCTCGTGCATTTGGTGATAGGTTGTTGAAGCAGTATGTTGTGGCTGATCCCGAGATTCAGGTTACTCTAATTCTTTTTTTTTCTTGCTCCGAAATCTCTTCTCATGAAAAGAAAATGTACTTAACGTCACGAAATGGGCAATTTTCAGGAGGAAAAAGTCGACAGCACTCTCGAGTTTCTTATTCTAGCGAGTGATGGACTGTGGGATGTTGTATCTAACGAGGTTTTGATTTAAAACTATCATTTCCTAAACCTCTTCGACCGTCCAAATCAGAATTAGATCTCCTGATGTTGTTTGTTCAATCAGGAAGCAGTAGAGATGATAAAAGAGATAGAGGAAGCAGAGGAAGGGGCGAAGAAGCTGATGAAGGAAGCGTACGAAAGAGGAAGCGCAGATAACATAACATGCGTCGTAGTACGGTTCTCCTCAGGAGGAGGAGGAGGATCCACCAGCTCCTCCTCCGGCTCGGACCAAAAGATCTCATCCGACTGAACTCTTTAGTTCAAACCACCAATGGTAAAACTCCCTCTCCTCTCTGGCTTATATTCCCATATTTTTTTTAACAAAAACACCAATTTAAAAAAAAATGAACCATAAATAGAAACCCTTATACATACATGCACGTTGTCATCTTCCCCTTCGTTTGCTACAATTAGTTATATGTAGGAACAGAACAGAGTCCCATGATGTGTGTTCTTAAAATTGGAAAAGATCTTAGATGCGTTCCATAATGTAATGCTGTTGTTATTCTTACCCCCCTTGTTTGCGCTTGTGTGTGTGTGTGTCGTAAAACGTAAAACTGAACAAGTTCCTTTTATATTTTCTTCCATGTCTTGTGATCTCTACTTAGACTACGATACCCGACATGCTTTGTTCTCAGCTTTTCCTTTCTTCGTACAAAAAAAAATGATAGGGATGTACATCTCGGTTCAACAAAACATATGGTACAATTTTGTAGAATCGAATAACCCGTTTTCGATTCCGAATTGAACCCGATAATCCGAATTATCCACGTTTATGTTTACCGACTTAAATATCAAATTTCAGTTTTATTTTATGTTCATATTACAGAACTGTTCATCGAATTGTCACAGTGAAACCGAATCAAACTTATTAACATTGGGATCTACTTTGGCGCAAATTTTTACAGAATCTATTAAACCATTTCCCAATTGAACCTGACACCGCCTGCAGAATGGTCAAGATTTTTCTCAAATACAAGAAATACGACGGCAAATCTCAATAGCAACATAATTGCTAGATATTAAGAAGTAAACCGAGCTGTATTATTACATTTAGTCATTTAGGGTAATCCCAAAAAATACTTTTCTTTTGTTGCATTTTAAATCCTATATTTTTTTATCAAAAAAAACCTTATACTTTTAAAAATTATCAAATAAAATCATGTACTTTCAAAAATTGGTAAATAAAAACCGAAAAAAAAATTATTTAATAGTGATATGACATCTAGTCACCTGTCACATCATCAATCTCTAATATTTAATAATATTAATTAATTAATAAATAATAATAATAATAATAATAATAATAATAATAATAATACAATTTTAAAAATTATACACATTCATATACATATTAATTATTATAACCACAAAATTAATTACACATTTATTTTACACATTTATGTGATACATGTATTTTTCCCTAAAAACATTATAACCACAAAATTAATTGCACATTTATTTTCTAAGAACATATTTTTTGGACAATTGAACTCATATAAAACAATATACAAATAATAAATAGTTTCTTATATATATAATGATTTTTAGAAAAAATATATATATCACACATACATATAAAACATATATATATATATATAAATATGTAAAATAAATATATAATTAATTTTGTAGTTATAATAATTAATTTTTGTATATGAATATGTATAATTTTTAAATTTTTATTTTTATTAATATTAATATTTTATTTTTATTAATTAATATTATTAAATATTAAGGGTTGATGATGTGTCAGGTGACTAGATGATATATCATCATTAAATAATACTCTCTCTGTTTAATTTTATTTGACGTTTTAGCTTTAAACACACATATTAAGAAAAATAAAATTGTCTAAAATACCCTTTTGTAATTATGATGTCTTTATTTTTTCTCTCATACAATATTGTAATTACCTATTATTAATGAAGGATAATTTTGGAAAAAATATCAAAAAGTACATAGAAAATATCAAAACGTCATTTATTTTAAAACAAAAAAATAACTCTAAAACGTCATCTAAAATTAAACGGAGGGAGTATTTTTTTTGTTCAGTGTTTTATTTACCAATTTTTAAAAATATATAATTTTAATCGTAAATTTTTTAAAATACAAAGTTTTTTTGGATAAAAAAAAGTATAAGGGTTAAATTGGAGTTTTTTTTATTACTTACATTTACCGCAAAAGCTCTGAATATCTTACAGAAAAAAAAAGTAACTACCATAGTCGGTCCCCCTTACAGGAACCGTTGTACGATACCTCCATCGAAATGCTAAATTCCATTCCCATCAAATTCCCAGTTCTTTTCTTCTAGAATTGCGCACTTAGTCAAAGTTAGTGACTGAATTTTACTTTGGAATGGAAACGTAGCATATAAATAGAGGATTTTGTAATTAATTGTCTCACTAATACATATAGTATTAATTATCTCTCAACTGTGGCTACCGTCTTTTTTTTTCCACGGTTGGTGGTGATGACTCAGAACGTTGGGACGACGCCGAACCCGTCCAAGATTCCGGCGGTGGCTCCAGCCTCGGTTCTCTTGGCGAAGCGGCCTTTGATCCGTGGCCTCATCTCGGCGTATGCTTTGCGCGAGGCGTACCTTATCGTCTTCTCGAACCTTCTGTTCTTCCTCTTCTCTCTGTACCTCAAAACCCTAGCCTCCCTCTCCGCCGACGACAGTTGCACCGCCGGCGCTGTCGTCTCCGTCATTGTATTCGCCACCCCACCGTGCATGTTCGGTATCTCCGCCATGGATCCGTCGTCTGGCACTACTCCCACGTCAAGTGACGACGACGAGACCTGGGAAAAATTTCCGCATAGAACATCAGAAAACGAAGTGTTTCGAGAATATTCTAGAATCCAGAGAAATCAAGCAGACTCCGACGATATCGGAGATCAAAACGGCGTGATTCTAACTGATAACTTAAAACTCAAAATCTCCATTGTTTTTTTTTTTGTTGAATAAAATCTCCATTGTTTACGAGCCGCGTTGATGCATACGGTCAAGGTTGATCATATTCTTGTGTTTTCCGTTCACTTTCTACGCAAGGAAGATCGAAAACAAAAAATATGTAGAGAGAGAGAGAGAGATTACAGTTTGACTGATGCAGCTGTATCTATGGGGCGACGATTTCGAAGCGGAGAAGGCGAGGTTGAAGTAGTCCTCGCCGAAAAACGCAGTTTGAGCGCTCTTGTTCTGCACCGGAACTACTCCGTCCGCGCCGGAGCTGTTTTCCGGTGCCTCCATCTTCGGATTCACCGCCGGATAATCCAGATACGGCTCCACATCGGAGAACAAATACGGATTCTCAATCCCTTCCTTCTCAGGATTCGGAAGAAGCCACGAGGCCGCCTCAGCATCCCCATCGCCATCATCTCCGCCGTCGAGAAAGTCCGGCGGCTTGGTCGCCGGAGGAGAATCATAGAACGGCGTGACAGGGACGCGCTCGTGGCGGCGAGCGAGGGGATTAGCGGAGTGGATGTCGGCGTCGCAGGTGACACAGAGAGCGGCTGCGTCGGCCTTGCAGGTGACGTGAGCCGGAGCTTGCTCACAGACCTCGCAGATCCAAACACGAGCGTGCCTTGACGCGAGCTTGTTCGCCGAATGGATCCTCGCGTCGCACCCGCCGCAGAGAAACGCCGTGTCGGCGCGGCAGAACAGAGTCGCCGTCGCCGACTTGCACGAGTCGCAGAGCTTCGACGCCATGGTTGTCTCTCTCTCTCTCTCGGTGCCGAGATTTTTTTTGTTTTTGAGTGGAGTAAGACGAATGATTATGCACCAATTGGATGGGTACTCTGAGTGAGTGGGCCCGAGGATATCTGGACCTAACCATTGGAAGACTGACACGTCATGAAACCTTAGCCGAATACGGTAGCGTGGAAAGGTATGTTCATTGTGCATATGTTCTCACGGATAAAGGTTACCAGAATAAAAAACCTCCAAATTTTGGTATTAGTTTTTTTTCTTTCTGAATTTTTATATTTTTTTAACTAACAAGATCCAAATTAATCCAAAAATCGGAGATGAGCCATATAATTTCGAATATACACTCTTTTATCAAATTTAAAATTCGAATTTAAGACAATACAAAGGTTTTGCATTCTCATCTGAACGATTGAACTATCCGATTTTTAGGTAAACTAGGAGGAACCGCGCGATACGCGGTTTATTCTTTTTTTGTTATTATTAATTTTAAATATTTACATTTTTAGCAAAAATTATATTATTAAATTATTATTATATATATATATATATAAAGAAATGATTAAATGAAAGAATTTAAATATTATTGCATTATTTTCGTATAAAATCATTCTTAGTTGACTAAATTTGTAAATGTAATTTCATACATTTTTTACAATCAAATGCATATTTAGTCAATATAATTATAATATATATATATATATATCTGAATAAATAAAATATTATTTGTTTTTAAATTTTGCAATGTTGTAAAACAAAAAGCAAATACTGAACATAGTGTAAGTGTAATAAATAGATACTAAATATTAATAAAAATATTTTTCATTTTAGATATATCATACGCTATCGTTTTTATTATCATATTTGAAAATAATAATTGTTAAATTTGTTTAGTATAAAATTTTGAAAATTTGGATAACATGGCTAATTTTATTAATTGATAGTGCGAATACTATATATAGCAAAACTAAATTTTAATAGTAAACTATTAATAATTAAAGTTAAAAAAAATGTAGTTAAAGACAATGGTTTATTTTATTTATATATATATATATAGTATGAGAAACAGAAAATAAATTTTCTTTTATTTTTTATTTTAAAAATATAGTTTAATTATCTCATTGATCTAATTTGTTGAGAAATTTTCTCTTATTTATGTATTGGGAGATATGTTTTTGGGTTTTACTCAAAGTATCGCCTATGAGTTTATACACCAATTTCGAGTTTATAAAAACAGATAAAAGAAAAAATCAGAATAAGTCTTAGATCTTAAATCATAATTGGTTCACCCGCCTACATAAAACCATCCAAATTGATTATAACGAAAAATACAATTAAATGATTGTGTTCAAAACCTAGAAAGGCGATGAAGTTTATAACAATTAGAGAAATTTTACTTTTTGCATAAAAATCATCAAAACATCTTATAAAAAGACATTGTGTTTACATTTTTCATGTACCAATCAAATGTTTCATTTTCACTTTCAATGTTTATGACTCTATATCTAGAAATTGGAGAATAATCAAAACTTTATAAAAATTATAAAAATTTTATTAGTAACTATTTTTTTATTTTGTTTGACCGAATCATTTTAAATTGTGTTTTAGTACATCTGAAAAGATTTTTTCATAAAAGATTTTATTACATCAAATAATGGATAATTGGATAAACAAAATTTTGATGTGTCATAAGTTTTAAACTCTCTCCACCAACTTTTAAGAATTATAAATAAATTAAAAACACAAAAATAAAGTAAATAATCGAATATAAAATAATAAATAATGAAAGAAATAAATTTATATGTATATATATACATAAATATACACATATTTTTTTATAGTTTTGTAAATATTTTTGTACAAATACATAACCAAAATAAATAAAATTAAATAACTAATTGGATGAAGATAAAGATGAGCATAAATATCCGAAAAAATCGAATCGATTCGTTATTCGATTCGCATCCAAATCGAAAATTTGGATATCCAGATTTCGAAAATCGGATACGGATATAGTTTTCAAAATTTTTGTCGGATACGAATCAGATACATACGGATATCAATATATAATTATTCATTATATTCGATTCGATCTGTTTTCTATACATTAATAATGTATAGTTAATTTGGTAATAAATTTATATATGAAGATTTTTATAAAAAAAATAAAAAATATGCTTAGTTTTTTTGGTTTTTCCACTATTTCCCTCTATATCGTTTGTCTAACTCCCTCCTCTTTCCTCTCTCTTCCCCTCTCCTCTCAATATGCACCATTTTTTACTGATTTTAAGTGGAAGAATAGCAGAAATACCCCTCCTTTGCTACAATGACTTCACGCCATACCCTTCGAAACCCTAGAATTTCAAAAAAAAAAAAAACGAGCAAAAGACATAAAAGACCTTATAAAAAACGATACGTGGCGCAACAGAAAGGGAAGGACGGTTGATCTTCCCGAATCGACACTGTAACTTAGTCTTTTTCGAGACAAATTTTGAAACTGCTTCTCTCTCTCTCCCGTTCAAAGAAATCCGGCGAAATCCTATCATTTCTCTCTCGATTCTCAGAAATCAGAATAATGGCTTCAAAATCGAACAGAAATGAAAGCGAAACTTCAACTCCCGCTCGCAAATCGGGACGTGACGGAAGAAAAAACCAGGAACTGAAGGTAAGTTTGAGTTTGATGCGATGCAAGAAATCTGGGTTTTTTGGTTTGAGTTTATGATTTTTAAGTTAATCGTGAGATTTATAGTGGAAAATCGGTTGTTAGATTCACCGAAACGGAAGTTAGGGTTTACCTGGTCACACTGGTCACGTTGGTCACACTGACTGATTGAGGGTTGATTACTTCTTTGCAGGTTCCGTTCATATATAATTTTTCAGATATTCAATTCGCACCGAAGATTGAAAGCAAATGCTATTTGAGTCAGACGATAAAAAATCTGAAAGATGTATTATCTACTGAGGAGTGGAGGTACTTATATGAGGATTCACAGTTTCGTCACATATTCCATTTGAAATGTGACGAAAACATGAAGATGTTGCCTGTGTCAGTACTCCTACACCGAACGCTGAAGTTAGAGGAGGAAAAAGAGCAGTTATGGTTTGTTTTAAATGGCGTTCCTATTAGGTATTCTATAACCGAGCACGCCATTATATCAGGATTGAAGATTGGAAAGGGCGCATGTAAAGCGATTTTCGGATAAAGACCTTTGGACCTGGGAAGGTCACGAGGAAAGCAGTTATGGAAAAGTTGCAAAAGAGTAAACACAGTCGGATTGACAGAAAGAGATTGGCACACTGATGTTGCTATCCAGGGTACTCGACCCCGGGAACAACGATGACTCTATCAACCATGATCTGGTTGATATGGTCGATGAACTTGAGTTATGCGAAGAATTTCCGTGGGGCAGGTACACATTCGACAAATTGGTAGAACAATTGCGGAAGATTCTACAAAGTCCTACACCGAAGGGGAGATGGCGCTTGACTGGATTTGTTGTCCCTCTCATGGTGCTTCCTTTCGAATGCATCGAAACTCTTTGCGCAAACAGTTGGTGCACGATTGTTGAAGATGTCGATCCAAGCTGTCCCAGGATGTGCAAGAAGCATATCTCTAACCCCAAATGGACTTTCGGGATGGTGATGAAACAGATTGGGAACGAAGCAAAGGTACGTCACAATGGTCACACTGGTCACGTTGATCACACTAGTCACGTTGGTCACACATGTCACGTTGGTCACACTGGTCACGTTGGTCACGTTGGTCACACTGGTCACACTGGTCACGTTGGTCACACTGGTCATATTGGTCACACTGGTCAAACTGGTCACGTTGGTCACACTGGTCACACTGGTCACGTTGGTCACACTGGTCACGTTGGTCACGTTGGTCACACTGGTCACACTGGTCACGTTGGTCACGTTGGTCACACTGGTCACACTGGTCACGTTGGTCACGTTGGTCACACTGATCACGTTGGTCACACTGGTCACGTTGGTCACACTGGTCACGTTGGTCACGTTGGTCACACTGGTCACGTTGGTCACACTGGTCACGTTGGTCACACTGTTTATTTTTAATTCTGGTCACACTTTATTTTTAATTCTGGTTGACAACTGTTGTGTTTTGGTTTTAGGGCATTCGAAGTATTCTAGAGTAGAAAGTGTGGAAGAGGAATCACTTCTTGCCGACGTCGATGACGAAGATATTACCAATTCGGATGTGCGCAGTTGGATGAAACAACTGAAGGTCGATCCAAAAAGTATTTGTTTTGAGCATATTCGTGCTCTTGATGTCGATGCCAGGGGAGCTGCTTCCGATAAGAAGGCAGAAGAGAAGGACAAGAAAAAGAATCGAGAAGAAAAAGAAGAAGATGACGAAGAAGAGGAGGAAGAAGGAGAAGAAGAAGTACAAAGAAGAGAACAAGAACAACATGGAAGAAAAAAGCAAGTAAAAAAAGGAAAAAAAGAAGAAGAAAAAGGTTCTGAAATGAGATTGATGGAGGCGATTAAGGCCTCTGAATTGAGGATCATAAATTCAGTGAAGCAGATGATGAGGAAAGCAGGATTTCCGGTGGATGAAGAACCTTTTCAGGGGGTGGGTGGTGAGGATGTGCGTACTCCCCGTTCACAGATACAGGGAGAAGAGGGTGAAGATGTGGGTAGAAGCTCATCAATGAGTGATTATACGCCGGCAAGGATATTCCTTACCATTTTAAAGCTCGGGTTGGAGATGGATGTAGTGAAGAAAGTGATGATGAGGGCTCCGAGGGGGTGTCTAATACTCCTCCCAGAACTGTGGAAGGGGGGTTACGAGTCCAAAGGTCCATGAAGAAAACCCTATGGAAGTGGACTTTGCTACCCAAGACATCGAGGATGTTGCTGCCCACATCTCCGAGGACCCTGCTGTCCAAGCGACCGAGGATGTTCCTACCCTCGTGTCCGAGGACTCTACTGCCCAAACCACCGAGGACGGTACTGTTCACGTCTCCGAGGACCCTACTGTTGAAGCCACCGAGGATGATGTTTTTCACGTCTCCAAGGACCCTACTGTCGAAG